GGAAACGAATATATTTTAACATTACAAGATCAATTAACTAAATTTTGCATGGGAATACCATTACCGAATCAAACTTCCGAAACCATTGCAGAAGCTTTTGTAGATCGATTTATTTGCGTACTTGGAGCAGCAAAAGCAATATTAACGGATCAAGGAAGGAATTTCCTTAGCGACTTAATAAAGAAAATAGCAAAATTATTTAAAATTCGCAAATTTCGCACGACAGCTTTTCATCTTCAATCAAACGGATCATTAGAGAGATCACACCATTAGGCGAATATTTGAAACAATATGCAAATGAACAAAAACAATGGGATAGATGGATCAGCCTTGCCATGTTTAATTATAATACGAGCGTACATGAAGCAACAAAGCACACTCCATATGAACTGGTTTTTGGAAAGATAGCACGTGTTCCATCGAACGAACTTCTACCTCCTGGGGATAAATTAGCAAATTATGACGAATATTTAATAAATCTTGTAACTCAACTTCACGCAATTCAGGGAAACGCACGCGATAATGTCATTCAGGCGAAAATTAGATCAAAAAATTATTACGATAGAAAAATCAACCCGCAAACTTTTAAACCGGGAGATCAAGTATTTTTATTAAAAGGTCCAAAACCAGGTAAATTCGGAGATCAATATACTGGGCCTCACGAAGTTCTAGAAATTTTTAATAAAAATAATGTAAAAATTAGAATAAAGAGAAATAGCCGAATTATACATCCTAACCGCTTACGAATTTCATACATCAAAACTAATAAATAATTACGAGAATTTTCAGATGGACCTCAGAATTGGAAGACGAATCACGATAATAATTTTAACAAAAAAATAATAATAATTGAAATTTTATCAAACAGAGCAATAGGAACAGACTTAACTTAGCAGTCACAGTAAAAATATTCCCGATCGTGTAAAATAAGAGAGAACATAAGCGAATGCGCCATACTGTACCATTTAATTGTTAGATTAATTAATATACTAAAAACGTATATATATATATTATACATATACAGGGTGGTCCTCGTAACGGTCGCCACGATTTTTAAGGCACTTACAATAATCTGACATAAAAAAGTTATAAACAGAAATTTATCAGTTTCTAACCGGCAACAAATTGCAATAATAAAAAAAAAATTGACCAAACATTTTTTTTCCATAAAAAAAGCAAGGTCACCTTTAATTTTTTAAATGGAAAATTGAAGATGACCTTGCTTTTTTATGGAAAGAAAAATGTTTGGTCAATTTTTATTATTGCAATTTGTTGCCGGTTAGAAACTGATAAATTTCTGTTTATGACTTTTTTATGTCAGATTATTGTAAGTGCCTTAAAAATCGTGGCGACCGTTACGAGGACCACCCTGTATACAGCCACACACATATATTTTTAGTACTAGATACACAAATATTATAAATGTTACTGCGTTTAACATTAATTTACAAAATACATTAACCTACAAAAATATTATTAGCATAACATTTAGATCAATCATTATATAATATACATATATAACAAAAACAGAACTATCTTTTCTGATTTAAAAAAAAAAAATTATATATATAAAGAAATATTACCTGATCATCCGAAAAAAATGGGAGAAACAATGAGCTAGAAAAATATCACAGATCAATTATATCATCGGCTCCAGCAACCAATAGGCGATCACTATGCTACATTTAGTGATAAACTATCCAGCTTATTATTCTGCAGACAAACATGGTATTTCAACCAACAGCCAATTAAAAGAACAAGGAGAACTATTCCAGCATTTGTCAATTGACAAGTCATCTT